ATCGCATCTTTTTTAGCAAAAATAATGATTGCTCTTGGCTTCCAATTTTTTAGCAATAAAAAACATTCGACGAACGAAGGCTTGTTTTTTCTTTTTATAGCTTTACATATTTGTATCAATTGAGTGCATGTACCACACTGTTCATTTAATTATTACGGCATCACCATTTATCAATTTATTTATCAATTTTTACGTAATTTACGCTAATTTATTCTGAATACTTTTAATTTAAACACATATCACGCAGCCACTTTAAGAGAAATGAGTGACAACCCAAAATGATGCTGCAAATTCATGTAATTTTCATCACTTATTGTATAAGCTACTTTAATAATTGACCCCCAGATTCAGGTCGGGTCTGTGGTCGGATTCTTATTCATTTATTTACCTCATTGGTCCTGTTTTAATTAACCCTCGGATTCGGTTCTGGTTTGTGGTCGGACTCTGATTCATTTATTCATTCATTTACCTCATTGTTTTGTTTTATAAATTCAGGAAATGCAGTTTTCAAACACAAACACAAATTTAGTATCAACTTTATTTTTCAATATTAAATACTACGCAAGGTTTTACAAAGTGTGCCATTACTTTAAAAGCATTATATTTGTGATCAAAAAGTGTCTAGCTCTAAAAAGCTGCAAGTTGATGAACTTTTTTGGCAAAAGCATGTACGTGTTTTCTAAAAAAAAGAATGAACAATATAAATGTCAAACAAAAGAAGGGTTGTCAGAGCCGATTTCTCCGGAATGAACAAAACGGTGAAGGGACATGTTAACTATTTTCTGACTTTTGTTACTGCTCTTTGATATATTGAATAAAAAAAAACAATCATGAATATATCGCTTGTTGTGTCCTTTGCTAACTCTGCACATCACGTGCTTCTGCTGTGTCGAACAGACTGCATGGAATACAACTACAGACCAGAGCAGAGTGGTATTCAATTCAGTGATCCGAAAATGTTGCGCCCTCTCGAGACGAGGCGATACTGTGTCAATTCCTCTCTAGAGGGCGCAATTCATAAGAGCCTAGTACATTGACCCGTGCTTAAGACTGTATAGAAATTGGTTCCAACCAAAATTGTAGTGCTACAATTTGTGCACTTTTATGCATTATTCGGTAATTTCTTTGGACGAAATGTTCACAATTTTCCATTGCTTTTTTATTATTATTTTTTATATAAATCTGAATATTTGCACACGGCAAAATGATGTCATGTATCCTCGGGGCGGACATCCGGGCATTTTCACCGCCTGGCAACCAGCAGCGGTGAAAACAAAGGCCCAAAACTCGCAGAAAACGGTACTTTGGGGTGATTGTTGAGACTCCTCTGAACAGTGCAACAAGATTAGCCCTACGTGTGTAACATGTATAAATTTGATTGTTCGGGATTACTTCAAAGTTGAGTTTGTGTTGTTTTCTCGAATTTTCACCGGCTCGACCAGTGTTCCACAGCAGCACGCACAGAGCCCATAGAAATGCATGGTACAGTGGTGCGCGTCTTAGCAACGTGGAACGTCTGTGACGTAGCTCCGCCCCCGAGGATAGCAATTTCTTGTTTACTTCAATCAGATTGGTCCTAATGGGATGGAAGTACCCTCAGATATTTACATATCATTTGCATATTCTTGTTTACTTCACACAGATTGGTCCAACGGAATGGAAGTACCCTTAGATATTTACATACTCATTTGCATATTCTTGTTTACTTCATTCAGATTGGTTCAACGGAATGGAAGTACCCTTGGATATTTACATACTCTACGTCTACCAGTGTGGTTTCTATGTACATTCCATCTACGCAACCATTTACGTCGACACAATAGCACATCATGTACTTACGATAAACTATGAAATACTTTATTTTCGTTTGGAATTAATTTTCAATAAAAATAAAATCAGGTGAATATTAATTTGTTCATATTTTGTACACCAAGCTTATTAAAAATCAACAAAAATGAATTCTATACGAAGCACCCAAATGTTCTTTTGAGTGAGAATCAATTCCGGGTAAAATGAAGTATTTTACAGTAATAGTATTGCTCACACTCAGTTCGGTAAGTTCGTTTATATATACCGTTCTTTCTCATGCGATTAAAGCAACACATTTATATTGTTAATCGCATCTCTCCCATATTAGGCTATTGTATTAAAGCGTCAGACGGCCATAGCGTGTCATTGCTTAAAAATAAGCGTCTACCCATGAGCCTTTGCGTTTTTAGCATTCGTTGTTATCGTCGCCTGGTACTCAATTCCCGCGCGTGCGCAGGTGACGACCCCTCCGCTTTAATGCGTCGCGTCGCAATCAACATGGGTTCTACATTTTCGTCAGCGCTGCATACGAAGGAGTGTAAAATACTTTGTTTACACGAACAAGCGCTGTGCTACGATCCATCCAAAGCCTGAGACTTTTCGGTGCTCAAACTTACTATGTTCTTAATTGCCTATCGATCTTGTAGTGCCGAGTTACAGACCACTGAATTACAAATTAGCCTTGAAACTGCTTATGTTATTTGAAATACCAATCTGTGCTCTATACGCTGATATTCAAAAGTTATTCTGAGCGTAAATTCCTGAAATAGTCTTCTGGTCCCTTTTTTAGTGGTTTACATGCGAGTCAGTTTTATGACAGATATTTTAAAAATTACAAATGCCCTGTTAATTGAGTTACTTGTAATTAAATACACAGTATAGCGCAATCAATAAACGTTATTTTTAAGTCGGAACTTGAAAATCATAGTACATCAATCATTTTCATTTGCATTTTTTTACTTCAGCGAAAATGACTAATGTGTTTCAGACGATACTAGAGATGAAGAAATACTACAAGGTTATTGCGAGGATGTCGCAAATTATGCAAGAAGACAGTACAACGGGAATATTGAATATGAATCCCAAGAAAACATCATGGGAATACCAAAAACCAACAAATTTAGAACAACTTCATTGAGTGTGGAGTGCTGTCAAACTTTGGCGGCTGTCATGTTTGTTGTCATTATTAGAGCATACTCACGCGGGTAATCGTTCCATATTTGGAATTCGCATTTCCTAATATGGTAGAATGCAAATACCCAGAGAAATATCGCAAAATTACGTCACGCTGTAACTTATGGCGTTACGGTGCCAGATGTAGAACTTGAAAATAGATGTTATAGTTAGATTATTGATTTTCATAAAAAAAAAATAAAGTTAGCGTTCTAGTTTACCAAAATTAAAAATTAAATTTCAATCTGTTGAACAATATTAAACATGCCCACCGGAAGCAATTGTCCCAGATAACTTCCTGTTGTTTCTACGTCATGCACATTGGCAAAAATGAAGATAAAAATACTGATCGTCCCTCGTAAAAATCACCTTGCCACCCCTTACGTTACAATAGTATAATCTTTTATTACTCGCTGACCTCAATTCTATTCACTGTTTGGAGTGAAAGTATCCAACAAGGCACGGATACCAAGATGGTGGAACAGGTAGCCGCTGTGTTGCCGATGCCGGGCTATTACAGACTGCTGACGAACGTTGTTCCTGTACAGTTGGATACTTTCATGAAACAACCCACTGATTTCGATTATCTTGGACAGTTTTCAAGATATTGTCACTGTACCTGGGTCGATGTTGGTCTTGTCGTGATCTTTGCTGTGTTTTGGACCGTCTTGAGAGCCTGTCTGACGTGCTGTGTATTTAAGGTTAGTCTCAGAATGTTCTCGTTTACGAATGGAACGGGCATGTTTTTAATCCAAAACAAATGGTGAGATGCCATTTTAGAGCGGGGGCAGTTTGCCAGGTAAGGGGCTACAACTTGTGTAGTATTCATTAATGTCGTAACCCTAATGCCACTCTGCTAAGCGAGATCTCGTCGTCATTGCTCGTTATATCGTAGACACTATAGAAGTGGTTGAGTCTATGGTTATACCTAATTACATGAATCGGTATGACGCGCAATCCAATGAACTATAAATAAGCTGAACTGTAGTTATGACGCGCCGAGCGATTTAGGTGTGTATATAACTGGTCCTGAACGTGGATGCTCCTAAAGGTCATCCCAAAAGGTCAATTGCCTTCTTTATAGTTGCTGGGAATTACAAACGTGACACAATCGAACAGCTAGGTTAAGTAATCGGGTAATCTAACTGTTAGGTTTACGCTTGTTATCATACAACTTAGAATAGACTCGTATCTTCTCTCGTGGAATGTGCATCAACTTCGCGTCAATTCAACATGGCGTTGAAAGTGTCTAGTCTGTACTCATATTGTGCGACAAAGCATGTCCAGGCAAGACAAACAAATCACTGGTTGGCACTCTATGCAATGAACAAGAAAGGGGTCAATTTATTTAACAAACAATAGCGTGTCAAGTAGAAGAGAGTTCAAAGAGTTGGGCGGACCACAAAACATCATACAGTCAGTATACAACGAACGTGCAACGAACGTGATATTTATATGCGCTCACAATAATAATAAAGATACTTTTTCCCGAAATGAAGATTATCTTAATATATTAAATTAGTAATAATGACTTCGCTTTATTTTTGACAAATCGCCATGTAAATTACGTTAAAATATTTGAGATAATTTCAGGAAGAGATATTTACCCGTTTTCTTTCCTTCATCCAAAAAAACATAGTCGAGATCAAACTTAGGTTTGACTCATACAGTACGCTGTCGCATCGACCTCCGCTACGCGTCGGTCGATAATTCCGCTATACTGTCTTCGTGCATACTTTGATGTATCCTCGTAATAACCTCATTTTATTTGCTTGTCTTTAGGTCCAATATCAGGTTTGCCTGTTTAAGATGGGGCCGGGGGATGATTCGGAATTTGTTTAATTTTCATGTATTTACTCGAGTTTTAGTGTCCGGGTGATG